AAAAATATATTAAATATTTTCATATATTGTATTTATATTTATATTGTATGAACTTCCCAGCAGATGGACATAAAATGTAGGGTGATAGTTCTTTTTTGCCTTAATGAATGGAATTCTGTATACTTACCAAAGGAAAAGGGCCCCTCTCTTCAGAAGAAACTGAACTACCTTCTCATGACCATTCTGGGCTGCCAAATGAAGGGGAGTCATTCCCTTCTTATCACCTTCATTCAAAAGTCTTGTGTCTTTCATATCTCTTATAAGTCGTTGACATGTATTGATGCGCCCATAGCTTTGAAAGATAAACATAGAAATCGATGTCAAAAAAATACAGATGGAAAAAATGGCATTGATTCCATTGCCTAGACTGCACTACTAACCTGGCAGCGAAGTGTAATGGTGACTTCTTGTCCCTGCTCTTAGAGTAGATGGAAACGTTGAGGCTGAGTAAATTATTTACAGAGAGGGCCACACCTTGTCTGCACGCATAATGCAGTGGAGTGCATCCTTCATTATCTTCATCCACTACAAGATTTTTAATATGTTCCATCTGTTACCCCCCCAAAAAAACCCAAAAGCACAGAATTACATTTATATCACTAATGCTGACAGCTTCTAATAGCTTGTAACAGTAGCATTAATACTTTAAAGCAGTATCTAAAAATAAGAAACAAACTTTAGGAAAAGTAAATTTAGCAACAACGCTCATTTTATGTCTGCTGATTTGTGGGTCACCATTTTTTCAAACAACTACTGTTCGAAGAACACAGCAGTTTGCCACTCGGCACCCTTATTGCAATCCATCCACAGTACGAGTATAATACAGGAGATTCTTCTTTGCTGCCATCCAATCATAACACTCAATGCTGTCAGCAGAAGGCTTGTACAGAACGTAAGGGCAGTCCATAGTCTGTATTCAGTAGCAAAACTTCTGGCTGTCAAGAACCACCAGTTCACTGGTTTACAGTGTAATTTTATTTCCTCCATTTCTCATCTTTCCCTGTTTTTTCTCCATACCCTCTGTAACACTATCCTATGTATAACCTTTCATAAAGCAACTAAAAATCTCCTTCCCGGGTCTGCTCCACTCCTTGTCTGAATTATTAGTATGATCAATAATTAGAAAGTCAATGCAGACAACTGAGAGTTACCACTCTGGTTTAAAACTGATTCCCTACATCTGCTGAAAAGGGAGGTTAAATCCATTCTGCATTACTAATCAAAGTTGTTTACAGATTACAGCAGATGATGTAAGATCAGTTAAACTTGATTCACATTTAAAAGGTTGTTTCTGGAGCTCTGGAGGTTAGCAAATTTAACTCTTTCAAGCAAGCTTGGGCTCTAGCAATATGAGTGTTTCACTTCAGCACAGCCAAATACAAATCTATGTTTGAAATCCCTTTTAAAACTAAACTTTATTACAGTCCAGTCCACAGAAAGCACCTGCAGAATATGCTGTAAGCTATTTAAGTCCTAGAGCTTGAATATGAGCATGTCCCCTAGCTTTACTGCATGCAAGCTGGGAAAATAGAAGTGAAAAGTTCTGTATTTTATTGCCTACCTCTTGAGCTATTCAATCCCCCAACAGCAAAATAATTTATGGGATTATGTTATTCCTTTGCCTGGCAATAAGAAAACTGTATTATTGGCTTTGAAATATTTTCATGAGAGATATGTACCTCTTCAAACTATTTTCTGTGACACTGGGCAACTTAACAAGTACCGCAACTTTTACAAACATTCCAAAACAAAATGGTAGTTGCTTTTTTCTTTACATTTTCTAGTAAGGGTAACAGAAAGACATAAATTGATGCTTACTGTACCTGCAGAAATTTCTCATTCAGATGCTGTAATCCTCCAGGCTGCAATACCGTCAAATGCAAGAAATTCCGACCAAGATGATCTTTTAATGATACATTTGCTCCTAGATAAATATGGAAATAAATACCAGCAACTGCTACTTCAAATACTTCAGAACTGCTGGCCCCTGGCACTAATTGATGATGTTTAAGACAAAGGAACAAATGTTGAACCAATGTGTTTATAAATCTATAAAATAACAAATATAATTTCAAGTCAACATTATAACACATAATTTTACTTACAACCCCCCCGCTACTGACACTCAGATTTCATCGTTATCTCACGTGTGTATGCATTTTGTATTTCATTGCAGCACTAAGATTTATGCGGGGCCCTTATATTCAGAAATACTGAACACCCACAAATCAAGAGGTAATTTAAAGATGCAGATGACCACCTCTTCTAATCTTTTAAAGTTGTAATCTTGTTACAGCTTCAAAACTTATTACAGGGCTTATTAACAAAATCAGTTATATTACTATTAACAAGAGGAAATACAGTAATAATAATTAGCTTGCACCAAAAGCGTGGCAATTGAAAGATACAGCTCAAACATTTTCAAGGTGACTGTGATCATATAAAATCACATGTAACGCTTGAAATATGGGCTTTAACATTTAAAGATTGATTGCCGGTATGAAACATGACTCTGTATAAGTGATGTATTTACTCCACTGCTTACTTTGTGAACTGCTAAGGAATGCAGGGATGGAGTGCCAGTGCCACCTCTACCTTGAGAAGCGTGACACATGGCATACACATTTTTCTACAGCCTGTTCATTCTGTATTTAAAAGGGTGAAATCATCACACTAATTCTTCCTTTATCTCAGCAGATACCGCACTGTGCAGCTGTTTAGCTCAGCTGCTCCTGGACTATATGGTGAAGTACTGAATTGAAATTCAGAGGAAAGTTAGACGCAGAGTTTTAACATGTACGAACCCTGCTCAAAGGAAGTATATCATATGTGTATATTCCTTTTTACCTTTTGAGAGCAGTAAATTCACAATTTTCCATGATGCACAGGAAGTGGCCAACAGAAGCGGGGATCGACCTTCTATGTCAACACTATCAATATTAGCCCCCTGCAATAAAGAATTTCAAGTTTATCATGAATAATGAATAAATGAAATTTTAAAATGGTGCTGCCCTTTTTAAGCATAGCAGAATTACAGGCATTCTTAGTAACTCCAGATGCTCCAGATAACTAGATTCAATAAACACATGACATCTCTATATAAAGCTACTACGTTTTCAGACTATCAGCCACAGCCCAGTCATCTATACATATAAATTTAGATGCCTAAATAATAGTGGCTTACTTCTAGGTATACTGAACTCACAACTCATGATCTTTTGCTAGGGTACCTTTCCATGCATTTAAATACTCAAAATATAAAATTCTAACTTGAAAATACTGGGATTGAAGCTCTGGAAAAAGACAAAAATTGCAGCCCTTTTGAATGATGTGGTCTTACCTATCAAACAATTACCAGAACATGACCCTTCTGAACCTCCATGCTATATGAATTCTGTTCAAGAAATAATGCATCCAGAGATTAATATAGTTTGATCTGTATAGCTTGATCTATCTTCATTTTCTGTTCTTCATTGTAAGCTATATAAGCCAAGTCAATTTTGACTCTAAAGTACCTGTATCAACAGCGGCCACATTTTTATTCTCCAAACTCAAGGGTTTTGATAGGACCTTTCTCCTTAGGGGAAGCACAAGAACTGGAATGAGATACTCTGGCAAAAGCCCAGTTTTGGTCTTTTGTCTGTTTTTGCACAAGATGCATATTGCCAGGACAGTATGGTCACTCACTATGATCACATCAGCAAAATACTGTGAGCATAAACATAAAAACCATAAAATCTATCTAAAAAATCCTGCCAACAAGGGAGTATGAAGATACAAGTAAATGAACCAATAAGATGTATGTATATTTTATGATGTTTTAGACGTAATTTCTCTAGATACTGAGTTGCAAGTCAAATTGGATGAGTTGAACAAGTACACAAAAAAATCTAGTTTGTTTCAGATAATATCCAAAGATCACTGAAAAAAAAGAAAAAAAAAATATCAATGGAAGTTTTTCCATTAACTTGAATCATCTTTGGGTCCAGTCCTAATTTGAGAGAGAATTAATCATAATCATGAGCAACATTTACTTTCTAGGATGGTAAAACCTGTAACGTAGTAATAAGAAACATTTAATAAATTTACAATGATTACTTTACCACAGAGAACAGGAAGCTTCCAATGTATATTGAGAGTAACACATGCAGGACTCTTTC